TCCAATTATGGTCAGGCTTGAGAGAAGATTGGTAGGGTGGAAAGGGAATTTGCTATTCAAAGGAGGACGCGTTACTCTATCAAAAGCACACTATCTAACTTACCATTGTCTTATATATCTCTAATAACAATTTCCAATGAGTGTTGCAAAGAAATTGGAAGCAATCAAATGTAGATTTTTATAAGGTGATTCGAAGAAAAGAATGAGATATCACTTGATGGTATGAGATGTTCTGAAAGACATTTGCATCAAGGAGGCTTAAGGGTAAGATTGATTATTAAGATGAATCAAGCACTTTTGATTAAGCGGACTACGAGGTTTTTGAATGAGAATGGGACTTTGTGGCGTAGAGTTATAAGAGCAAAGTTTGGTAGAATGGAAAGGGATTCTTACCCTAGAAGTGTGTTAAGATCGCACGGGATTGGGGTGTGGAAACAAATATGCATGGGAAGGACATTTTTTAAGAAGAGTATTAGATGGAGGGTGGGTAATGACGGAAAATTAGTTTTTGGACGGATCCATGGCTTAGTGAGGAAGCACTTAAAGATAAATTTCCGCAGTTATATACGATCACCAAGCATAAAGCTACCTCGATAAAGGAGGTGTCTGGAGTGCTCAGGAGTGGGAGGGAGTGGCATGTGGAGGTTTTAAGGAATTTGAATGACTGAGAAGTATATGAATATGAGTCCGTTTTGGAAGCTCTGTTTCTATGGTTCTAGTAGAGAGTGATAATCAACCAATTTGGACACTCAATCCGAATGGGTCTTTTTTGGTGGGGTCTTTCTATAAATATTTGGTCAAGAATGAGGTTGTGGATGTTAAATTCCCATCACTGCAGAAATGGAAAATGAAGACTCCTAGTGTAGAAAATATAGGACAATAAATTAGTTTCTTTTTTGTTTTGCCTAGTAGAAAGAATCTCAGAATGATTATAACCATTTCTACAATTCCTTCTCCCCATAAATTTTTTAGGAAGATTTGTTAGGAAATTGTTATTTTTGTTACTTTATTTTCTATAAATTGTAGCACCACCAAGAATGAAATAAAAAACAAGTAGAAGAGGATTTTCCATTCTTCAAACCTTCATGGTATCAGAGCAACTCTGATCCAAGATAATCATCCCGATTGAGCCGCAGTCAAAAAATGGCCTCGGGAGACTACCATCTTCTCCACCCGAAATTTCATCGGGCTCTTACCATCCTTCTCCTACCAACCATGGCTTGGTTGAACCATCCTCATCATTCATTGGGCATAAGCTGAATGGTAGCAATTACCTTCAATGGTCATCATCAATATTACTCTTCATTCGAGGCAAAGGTCGCGAAGAGTATCTCATTGGTGAACTCTTACCTCCACCAGTGAACGACCCAAATGCTCGAATATGGAAGATTGACAACAGTATAGTGATGTCGTGGCTCATAAGCTCGATGACGCCCGACATCGCATAAAATTTCCTTCTCTACGAGACTGCGCAGGAAATTTGGGAGACAGTTCGGGAACTCTACTCCAGCAAGGAAAATACATCAACTATCTTCGAAATCGAGTCCACCTTTCACGAACTGAGACAAGGTGAACTAAATATAACTCAATATTATAATCTTCTATCTCGTAACTGGCAACAACTGGACGCCTTCGAAGAAAGGAGATGGAACCGTCCCAAGGACGTCAGAACTTTTCGGTCATTTGTAGAGGAGAAACATATTTTCAAATTTCTGCTAGATTTGAACAGCCACCTTCAATGAAATCCAAGGGCGGGTGTTTAGCATCAAACCATTACCTAGCATTCGCGAAGTCTTCTCCAAGATTCGACGAGAAGAAAGCCGAAGAAGAGTGATGATGGGTGATGCACAACTCACTCAATCTATCGAAAATGCTTCCGCACTCTCGATGAGAACTCAGGACCCGAGGGGGAAGAAAAGTCGGCCTTGGTGCAACCACTGTGAAAAGCCTGGCCATGTCCGTGACAAATGCTGGAAACTCCATGGAAAATCAGTCGACCGAAAGTTGCCCAGACCAGAAATCGACCACCATGGCAATCACGCGTCCGCTGGAGAAGCCTCTCTGAGTTCTGTGGAGAGTAGCCCCTTTAGTCCCGAGCAGCTGGAAGCACTTCAAAAAATTTTGACCCAGAAAAATTATCAACCTCCCATCAACGCATCAGTGGCACACAAAGGTAAAATTCATGGTTTCTCTGTGTGTTTAACAAAGCAGGTTTGGGTGGTTGATTCTGGAGCGTCGGATCATATAACTGGAAATGTGTCACTGCTCCAAAATTACCGCAAATCTGAAGAAAATATTTTGATTAAAATTGCTGATGGGTCTATCTCCAAAGTGGCTGGATGTGGCTCCATAATTTTATCTCCAAATTTGATACTTCATTTAGTCTTTTATGTGCCAAAATTAGACTGTAATTTGTTATCAATGAGCAAGCTTTATGGAGAGCATAAATGTGTTACTAAATTTGTCTATAATTTGTGTGAATTTCAGGACTTGGACTCGGGGAGGATGATTGGCAATGCTAGTATGATTTCAAGACTATACCTTCTTCAAGTAAACACTTCTAGGAGACAAACTCAAAATGCAGTATGTGCAAATTCTGTTTCTATAAGTCATTCAGATAATGACCAAAATATCATGTTATGACATTATCGATTAAGACATTCAAATTTCGTTTATATAAAAAAATTGTTTCCTTCACTGTTTAAGAATAAAGATCCTGTTTCATTTTAATGTGAAGTATGCGAATTTTCAAAATACATTCGCAATTCTTTTCTTAGTTTACCATATAAATCTTTTAAACCATTCGTAATAATTCATAACAATGTATGGAGACCTTCCCGAGTCACTAACATTATCGGAATTAGGTGGTTTATATTTTTTATTGATGATCACACAAGAATTACCTACATATTCCTTATGAGAGAAAAATCTGAAGTTGGACCTATTTTCAAAATATTCAATACCATGATCTAAACATAATTTCATATCAATATTTAAGTTTTAAAATCCGATAATGCATGTGAATATTTCAAAACCTCTCTTGGGAAATATTTCACTGATCATGGCATTATTCACTAAAGCTCATGTGCCTATACTCCACAACAAAATGATATAGCTGAAAGGAAAAACTAACACATCCTGCAGGTTGCCCGCTCAATCATGTTTACCACTCACGTCCCAAAATTTCTTTGGGGAGAGGCTATACTCACTGCTATTTACTTGACAAATCGGATGGCTTCCCTTATTATCAATTTTCAGTCACCATATAAATGACTTTCACAAACCTTTCCTGAATCACATATCGTAAATAGCCTACCACTCAAAGTTTTTGAGTGTTCTGTATATGTTCATATTCACCCACATCTTTGAGGGAAACTTGATCCACAGGATGTAAAATGCATCTTTGTTGGCTACTCTGCCCATCAGAAAGTATTTAAGTGTCTAGTTCCAGGTACATGTCGATTTTATAACACCATGAATGTTACATTTTTTGAAATCAACCCTTTTATCCCACAACTGATATTCAGGGGGAGAACTTTACTCAAGAATATTAATAGTGGGATGCTAGCATATCTCATCTCTATTCATCCCCCCCTGGAACCTGAACCTATCACTAATACTTCACCAAAAATCACACAGAAAGAACCTGAGTCAGTGTCAGGAACAAAAAATACATTTCCTGCAAATAATGAGTTATGTTCTACACTAGAAGGAACAAAAACCGAGGGAAGGCACCTGAATCAGACAAGCCTTGCCATAAATCTGTTCCGGCTCCAAGTACTCAGAAATTTACAAGTAATGAGACATTTATCCCTGCTACTGATATTGACAATGAATTGCCTATAACTTTGAGAAAAAAGACTCGAACATGCACCAAACATCCGATACAGGACTATATCTCATTTGGTAAGTTGTTTTCAGAACATCATGTCTTTGTGTGCAGGCTAGACAGTAATTCACCAGAGCCAAAGTCTATTCATGAAGCTCTGAAAATACCAGAATGGAAAGCTACTATCCAAGAAGAGATTAGAGTACTTTAGAAAAATGGGATATGAGAGTTAACTGATCTGCCCACAGGAAAGCGTCAGGTTAGATGCAAGTGGGTCTTTACAACAAAATACAATTCTAATGGGAGTATAAATCGATGCAAGGCTCGCCTAGTAGCAAAAGACTTTATTCAGTCTTATGGGATAGACTATCAAGAAACATTTGCTCCAGTAGCCAAGTATAATACAATCTGGGTATTATTGTCACTTGCTTCTAACCTTGATTGGTCA